ATAAAAAGACCATGCTGAGAGATCTGATTGGCAGCTGTAGGCCACTGCTTACTAGCTTTTATTGTAACACCCAAACATTACCCCTCTCCTGATGATTCCACTCACCTCCTAGTTGAGACAAATTGCTGATTCATAGCGTGCATCTCCTGCTCGGAAAATCCGGGCTGCTCCCACTCAAATGCCATGTGTGTTTTCATGTAGTCATCATCATCATCACCCTTGATTGAATGTGCTGTAGTTGTAGCGCCTGACATAATACCAGAATCATGATACTGGTGATGCCACATTGCAGTCTGCTCATCTTTGCTCATTTCACCGTGGGGTAATCCAATTCTACTCGTCTCCATGGTGAAAACTATATCAAGGAGGTTAATGCACATGGTTAATACCAGTAATTCATATCTAGTGTTTTACTGTACAAGCACTAAACATTAAATTTATGGCCTGCAAAACCACCTAAAGTCAGTTGGAATTCTTGAAAATCCAACAATAGATTGCTCTACTGCTCTTAAAATTCATTTCACCCATCTTGCCAAAAATACAGAAGGGCATGGCATGTCTAAGAGAATAAACAACCCAAATAACAAATTAGAATATGACAGAGGCAATTCCCTGAGCAGCTCTTTCTCAAAATCAGAGCCACAGGTTAGTTTTAGTGAAGGGAAGTAAACCTGAACCAGAAAGAACAACAAAAAAAAATTAGAACAAGAAACAGAAACTTAAACCACAGTTGATGCCAAGTTCACGAATTTGAGCATTAGTCCTTTATCATTTACTCTAACAAAGGGCTAACTCTCAAGATGTCTGCTTTAGAAACTATTTACAAAGTGACCAATTTTCATTATTAAAGTAGTTGATGAAACCAATTTATCTGTTAATAGCTCCCTCTGATGCAACATTGTGGTTTCTCAGAAATTATTCTCTATTCATTTGACAATATTGTGTTACCTTCACTAAAACACAAGACTGACAACGAAACAAATCTTGACACCAATAGATCACTACAGAGCTTCAAGTGTCATCATACAAAGAACTTCACAGTCTTGATACATGACGAGAAAACTCCATTTTCTTTCCTGAATAAAGGTAACTAATCCCTTGTATCAATGCCCTCTTAAGTGAAATAAGGAAATTGAGGCACTGTAAAAACTAATCTACAAGAACATTGTAGAACAATTAACCATCTAATGGGTGATACTTACTAAAGAGCATATGCATGAAAACTACTCTTAAATACTTATTTTACGCAAAGACTTAACCTTCACTTAAATATGAAACAAACCAGTAATAACAATATCATTCTAGACGAACTTTGTTCCATGTAAAGCAAGCTTCAAGTTATAGAATTTGGTTTGAATCAACTGAGTTAATAATATAAACAAGCCATTGCAAAGAGTTTTTCTAGAGATGAAATTTCGAGTGTTAGCCCTTCAATAGAAAATGAACACTTCCTTAATTGTTTTAAGCAGTGCCTTATACAAAATCCCTAGATATTAACTGTATGCGTCACTGAAGAGCTAAGAAACAACCTGGTTTTACCTGCAACTCTTAGGGAATGCGAAATGTTTCAAGCTACTTTGAGGATTCTATCAAATTATTTTCATACAAAATCATCCATGCCAGAACTTAAAATGTTTGGAGCAACTTCCTCAGCACACAACAAAATATTACGAAACACAACTCCACATCTTACAGTATTATAATAAGCAAAAAAAAAAGACAATGGTTAACAGGAATTTCCTTTGATATTCTGTGTGTTTCTTAAGAGGATTTGATATTTCTTTGGTAACCAAGGTTCAATTAGAGGAAACAATGCATTCGAATTTTCTAGACTGATTGGATATGAAAAAAAAAAAACTCCTTAGATTGATGTTGCATCCAACAAAAGGTATAATACATGTATGTGGTACAAAATGTTACATTGTAAAGTAAACACTGTATCAAATTTTCTAATTGAAAAGAAGAAAGTGAAAAATTGTTTGATACAAGTTTCTGTTGATATGTTATCGTAAGTGACCTTGGGCCAAAGTCTGTTAAGCACAATATATGACAAAGAGGAGTGTTGCGTCTGAAACTATATTTGATGTCTCCTAAACGTTTCAAGTGTTTATTTGCATATTGAATCCCAGAAAAATCACTTGTAATGCTAAAGGAATTTTAACTCATTGCTAATATCATCTGATTGAATTTCAAATCAAACACAAACTTGTCTTAGTCTCAAAACGGTTTTTGTACACCTACAAGTACCCATTTAGCACAAAATAATAGCTATAAAAGAGATTTAGTACAACGGGCCTTGTGAAAACCGGCTAAATAGTTTCGTATACGACTCTTTCAAAGAAAATCCTGTTTCACAGCATAACCACCCACGTTTATTATATAGTACGTTCATTATCACGGTAAACGCTCAATAAACGAGTACAAAATGCTTACCTCTTCACCGATTTGAGCCCAGCTACGCTGTATCAAACAAACTTCGTAATGTTACAATTTCTTAGTAGCTGCAGAGGAAAAGAAACACAATATTTACAAAAGCCAGACGGAACAGATCTTTACTTCAGTTTTTCTATTTTTAATAAGAGCAATATTACATGGTTTTTACGTTTCTTGCACACAGAACGTGACTTCCGACGGAAAGAAGAGCCCATACGGAATCAAAGACACTATTGTTAGCTAAGTAAACAACTAGAAGCTTACGGATATAAAGAAATTCATTCCCTCGCTCAAAAAAGCGTGACAAATTTTTCTGGTTCTCTGTGTGGAAATATGCCGCTCAATCTTAAGCAAGCGGAAATCTCTGAATTAACAGACTGAGTGAAGAAGAAAATACAATTACGAACCGAAAATAATATGGTGTGAAAACCGTTCTTCAGTTGGATCTATGTAACTCAACACGCATTGCAGCTTTTTTTTTTACCGCCAAATAATATATTGTTTATATACAGTCTTGTTTAAAACTTTTCATTTGCACTCTTACCAATCTTTCGCTGGTTAGGGCATCGACTGAGGTGGAATTCGTACACCTGTAAAAGACAAAACTGATGAAAATGTGTTGTAAAAGCTATTTTGTAAGCGTACAGGATGAACGTAATCGCTCAACTTAAATATCTGCTGAAGAACGAGCGAACATCATATCGAGGAAGGCTAGAAAATCGTTGGCTTACAGAAAGATTGATACAGAGGCAGCCTTGTTTAACTCAATTCCAATAAGAAAACTTCGGAAATTGTAGGGGAAAGGAAAACCACATTTCCTGACCGCCGCCGAATAAAGCTCGCAAATACGAATTCTAAGCGCCTCGATAAGTATAAGCCGTGCTACTGGCTGTCTACTTCGCTTTGACATAAACCTCAACCGTTAGTTTTCAGAGGTGCAAACTCTCCCAAAATGTAAAGTTCAAACAAAAATCCACACAATCGTGAAATAAGATATATTCCTAACGTTTAAGAGATTGCAGCAGTAAATTATAGAGCAGAAAAGCGGCTTTAGTGACCGCCTAACCCAGCAAGGTTGCTGTCAAACAAGGCAACTGGTCCAGATCGGCCCGAATATAAAGCTATACACGTTTTCAACCAAATGAAAATCACTATGGACTTTTAATTCATTCGAGTCAAGCATAAAGCACGGTGTCATCGCCCCATACTAGGTCCATTAATATCTTAGCAAATTCTTCGGTGAGGAATTTTAAGTAGAGCGCAGCGAAGGCAAACCAGCTTAAGACTTAATTTTTCAAGAAACAGAAATCATGGAAGATTTCCAGAGTTTCAGGTTTTTACGGGACATTAAATAAATACAACAGCATCTAACGAGCAAAGAAAACTTTTGATTCAATGATAGTCCGCAAAGATAAATGCTTTTAACACGAGGGGCCATTCGAATTGAACGCAGAGCGACTTGCGGCCTAAATGCGACCTATTGTTCATCGAGAAATCCGACTTGTTCCCAAAATGATGACATTTAATCGAAAAACGAAATCACAAAATCTTCAACAATAGAACAAAGCTAAACTTTAACCGAAATTTAGCCGTCTGGCAGGTAGTTTCTCACTCAAAAAGACCGAATAACCCCCAAATCTCCCTGCTGGTAAACAACTATTACAACAATAGCAGATTTCAATATTACTACCAACTACGCGCGCTTCTATTCGGTTGCGAACACTTTTTTAAGTGACATATCAATCTCGAACACGTTTGCTCCGAACTCTAATGCTTACCGGTTGAAGTAGCCGCGTAGAAGAGTAACTAGTTTCAGCTACAGAAGTCCTTTATCGATGGAACGCTCGATCAAAAACTGAGCTGGCATCCAAAACAGTCCATCGAGGGTTTGGCAGTAAACCGAGCTAGCGTGGGCACCATTCGTTGCCTAAATTACCTGTCAATCATTCGCACAAAAATATGCAATCAACAGCAGAACGCATTTTTATCGGGATAAATGGATCTTGTGGTTTCAGCGAAGCGAAATTCAATTTTGGATAAATAAAAACAAAACAGATCATATAAGTTTTCTGAAAAAGAATAAAATAATTATCATTTTCCTTACATCCTGGAGCGTTACGCAACACGGAAAAGCAAAGAAAATGCTACAAACTGCTCAGCGATCGAGTGTTCTAATAAGAGAAGAATTTGACAAGCATGCAATTTAAAACTCCCTAGGGACCCTTGAGGGCTCCTCCCAAATACTTAAACAATTCAGGAGGAACAAAGGAGCAAAATGAACGCATTTTCTGTCTGCTGAGTTGGCTGAGCAGAATGGAAAATACTTTTGTTTCCATTCTCGATTTTTTTCTCTGGTAATAAATGAACCTTTCCATTACGATCGTTAGTAGTAAGTTATTATCATAAGACGTGGGAAGGTTCGATGAAGTAAAACGAGGAGGCAGGGTGGCTGCCCGAGAATTTTCATGATGAGTTATCCGGTGGAGGAATAATGAGAAAAACCTTGCAAAAATAGGATACAATTCTGCGTTCTAGTCTTGCTTCTAAATAGCACATTCACTCTCATTAACTTAATTGCCTGGTCCTGACAATCCACAGAAGGCTACAAAATATCACAGCTGGTGGCTGAACACGTAACGACCTGCCTCCCCCTGCCACACAAATGAAGTTTAAGCTTTTAGAACGATATTGTGTCTACTGTCAGTCTCGCATCAAAATGCAATGAAAGCTTTTTACCTCTAAAAAACAAAATAACTTATACAAATTGGTTCTGCGATATTTTCGTCGAAGGTTTTTTTTTGATTTGCTTGATTACACATCATCAAAATTGAAAGATCGAAAATAACTGTAACCCCCAATTAAAGGTATTTTTAAATAAAAGGTCGCTGGCCCGTCACACTCTTTCAGACATGTGCGTGAATTAAAAACACCTTTGAATTGTGGTAACACGAAAAATCGATGGAGTGTTATAAAACTTAGCTGTTACTTCCTAAAACCACAAAAATAAATCAGTACTTCAAAGCAGTAAAATTAAACATGACTAGTTTCGAAACGAGAACGATTAATCAGAAGGAAAAGGTAAAAAAAATTCCCTTCTCGATGTGCTTACAACTGCAAACATCAAATATTCACATGGAACTTTTCATATTTTCAAATAACAAGTTATTAGTTGACGATAGCTAATATTTTCAAAGCTTAGGAACAGCAAAAATCCGAGACGACGAATTAAAGAAAAAGGCTGAAGTATTGCTATTTATTCACGTATATAATTATTTCATTTATTCTACCATTATCTAATCGATATATTTGTTTATTTTAATATTACCAGTTATCAAAACAGAAAAATACTTAGAGGCCCAGGTGTTGCGCTCGCGTCATTTCGAACTTTTTCTGAATTAACATAAAGCAAAAAAAAGACAAAAAAAAAATTGCCTGAAATATGTGCTGACGTCTTGCATATTTCAAGTTGTTCATGCATGAAGAATTTGCGCTTTATTATCGTGCCATATTACTCGCGACAAGCAAAAAAACCTATATTAGCATAATTCTCTTCCCAGTCCTGTTTTGTCGTGCTCTTCCAGGACGATCGCTTCGCCTAGCTAACTTCAGTAACAGCGCGAGCTGGGCAGGATTGAGGATTTATTGCAATTGATAATTGAAAGAGACATAGTTTACAACTGCGAATAAAAAATGTTCAAAGACAATTGATTCTGGTCTCCTGCGTGATGAACAACAGGAAAAGAATAGGTTTTCCGTTCTTCAAGTACCTTCCGCCCCTTTTAAGTATCTCTAACTTTTCAGGTTCTGATGGAAAAAGAGGTTTTTTCAACAGAGCTTCAAAAGAACTTGGACTAATTTTTTAATTAAATAAACGCATGTGCGCATTGCTACTGTCTGAAAACTATGCGCTCTTCAATTTCATTTCATTGGAAGTTCGATCCAGTGCAAGAGGAGTGGTTTGACCAATGAATTAAAGAGTCTTGTGAGCCACGTCTTCTGCATGACTTTATGGGTAAAATAACACTATGTTTCGCAGTTTTCTTGGCCGCATTAAGTGGACCGCCAACCTCTAGATCTAAGACTGCTTATCGCAACGATGGATGGAATGCCTGCAACAAGCAACCCCAGAACACACAAGGATCTACATCCAGCGTAAAACCGTTCAATATCGTTCCTTATTCATTCCCTGACCAGCCTTTTCCTTTAAAGAAAGATTACGGAGGATCTAAGAAGGTCGTTAATCGAAGACCGGTACCAAGTAGATTTCAGCCAGTTGAAGAAGCGGAAGTGACGAAACCGGAAGTCGCCCAAGAATAGCGTCTGGTTAGCAGGGTATAAAACACGTATCGGAAACCCCATCCTGAGTTTGTGCACTGATAAAAAGTATTTTTAAGTTTGCTTTATGAAACCGGAAAATTCACCTCCCGAAACAAAAAGAACAATAAGAGCTAGTCTGTCTCGACCGGAATATCAGTTAGGAAATTGTAGTGGGTAATTTTCTTTACACTGTCGAATTAAAAAGTAAAATTTCGCTTGAAATGTTCCTCGTTTTTAGGTTCCGCACAAGTATCGTTATTTCAGTGAGGCCTCAAACGAATATCAATGTGCTCATCAACGATTTTTCACAAGTTGTCTTCAATTTTTTTTCCTGTTCACCTCGATTTTAATTTCTAGGCTTCCTTCTTTTTCACATATAGTTCTGATTTTTTCAAACTAAGATTTATTGAGAATTACATATCGACATTTGGAAATTTAAAAAAAAAAAAGTTTCATATACTCGTAATATCAATAACTTCTTTACTTGTCCCCAGGCTCTTATCTATTCCTGAAATCCCTTGAAAAAGAGGTTGACCAAAACCCGCCTTCTCTACTTCAAGATTAAAATTTTTAAGTAACTCAACTGAATTACTCTACAATTCAAAGTATAATATAAATGAGACCTTGCACTATACACGTTTTTATTTTACATAATTTTGTTAATAATCGCAGACCTTTCTATGCCTTTCTCCCGATTTCTGCTCCTGCAATTTTCTACCGCACACGTGGAGCTACACGCATTGCAAGCGCGTTTCATTCCCACGCATTACGTGCACTTTGACGCGCATGTAGATAACCCTAAGCACACTTGAACGATACTGAGTGTGGGCTTGAAAAATTGAATCAATATTACCTTGTAAACTTTTCGCGCAAAATAAATAATACAAGGAAAGGTTCGTTTCGTGGTTTGATTGTTCTGAATGGCTTTTCTTTTCTTTAATCAGACCATTCAGGAAACTTTTAAAGACGAATTTGTGGTTTCACAAGATTTTCCTGCAAAGTGTTTACCAGAATGCCTCGATTTCTGGAACTAAAGCCAGTCAAAGTCAGATTTGCTTCGGCTTGGCCGACAACACAATCGGAGGTCTTCGGGTTCGAGAATCTTCGGAAGCGTTGTCGGACAGCGTCGTCGTCATTTCACCCATGAATAGATGCAATTATCGTGGCCAGTTGGCTACACTCGAGTATTCAGAGTATCACGTTAACACTGGCTTCGGGTCATGGTGAGTCTTATGCCACCAGATTATAATCAACATGAAGATGAAAAACAGCACTCTTCTTAACATTGTTTTGATATCTTTGGTGATCAGAGCATTTGCCAACACACCGGAAACTTTATGAATTTCGTGGCTTATACAGACGAACACGTAGGTGGTGAGAATAACATTGAGTAAAGGCTGATCCGGAATAAGCACTAATACTCCTTTTGTGTCATGCGCCAGCCAAATGTGGTACTGTGCTATAAACAACTGAAACATCAACAGAAAGTCCATTGTAAGCTAGGTTGATCATAATCTCTCTGGCAATACCATACGAACTGGGGACTGGCACTAATAATGAGAGCCATTCTTTATCAGTACCAAACCCCTTGCAAACCTATCGCACACTTATTTTTTAAAGGAGTTTGGTTCCCTGCCCAGATGCAACACAGAGAGTTTTCGGCGAACAAAGAACAGCAAAATGTTTCAACGTAAGTTCTAGCCGTCTGCTTTCAGCAATCTGTACCCCAAAGCGAAAACGTTCGCATTAACCCTTTAACTGCCAAGATCTAATTGTTAATTCTCCCTAGCTGCTTAACATTTCCTTGTAAATTAGTTATAAGAACTTAGTGCTCGATCAAGAGAGCAACTTGTACCTGACAAATTTGAACATTCTCATTACCAAAAGAAAGATGTTATTCGTCTTGTTACAAGCGTGAGACAAAGAAAAAATTCTGATTCCCCACGAGGAAACGAACCTAAGACCTTCGGATTCCACGCTCCGATGCTATACCACTGAGCCACAGAGATTCCACGGTGAGCAAGGTCTATTACGAAGTTCATATGACACGCGTCCTGCATACTGCTAGGACCAGCAATGTCGATAGCGTCATGTTCGCAAATAGAATAAGAGGGATAGTAATTTTTTTAGCTCAGTAAAGAAACAGAGAAAGAAGTTTTTCGCCTCGTCACGAGCGTGGGACAAAGGAAAAAAATTCTGAGTCCCCACAAGGACTGTTTTACCTGTGAGAAGTTTCATGTTAATCACTTCTGGCGGGTAAAGGGTTAACTATCAATTTTTTATTTTTCAACAGAGTTAAAACTGCCCAGGGATGGATCATAAAAAAAAATGAAGAAATTCGCAGGGAGCAAATATGAATTCTACTATCGCAATTTAACAACAAAAAACGTGTGCGAACTACAGGTACTAACCTCGAGAGAAATATTTCCAACCCAGGAGAAAAATTTACTGAATTTTGACCGGAACGGACCGGGAACATTCCTAAGGAACACGAAGGCTATAATCTACAAGAAAAAAACCAAGGGAACATCAAAAGATTACTAACAGTGAGTCCCTTATAAATACTTAACATACCTCGTTTTCTGGGTCCTTATTGTAAGTTACGGAACCTCGGTCCGTAATACGTACTTATTGAAGGAGAGGGCCGGACCGTAAAGTGTATGGCTCGAGGTCATGATGTACAGACCGAGCACAGCGAGGTTCGTACGTCATGAACGAGAGACAAATGTTTTCCCGTCCGGCCAGAATTAACCCAATCAATAAGCATTTTATCAAATGACCACTGACGAAGTTTTGAAAAATTTAAAAAGTTTGTTTTAACTTAAATAGGACGCAATAGACTGGCGCGCGGGGGAAAACCACGTAAAATATTCTCCAACAAAAACTTTTCCTTTTTTTTCTTTTTTTTTTTTTTTAACTACGCTCTGTGATTGGTCTAGAAAACTCGCGTCACCAACTTTACCAATCATATAAAAAACTAAAACCAAGCGCGACTTGGCCATTCGCATTTTCCCGCGCTTTCGGCAGATTGCTTGTTTTAACATTAAATTCTAATTGGCTTACTTGGTAGTGATTTTTCTCTTTATTATGATTGGCCGATGTGCGTTTGGTTTTTCCTTTAAGACAATACTACTCGTTTCATTTTTCTTGTATGGAAACGCTTGCTGCGCCGGTTGAGGTACGGCTGGGATCAAACGGATGGAAAATTAAGAAGAATTAAAAGGAAACAATTACTTGTACTCACAGGTATAAATGACATTGTCGAATGAGTCTGATTGCAAGAAACTTTAGAAGAGCACGTTAATGCCTGAGTAGTATAAATCTGCAACCAAAAAAGTTGGTTAGTTACTTCATATTCAAATCTTAAAAAGTTTCACGCATCACAAGTTACTTAGGGGATTTGAGAAAGAAAAAAGACAACTTCGCTGTGCAAACGAGCATTCCATAGCTAGGAATAACCTATTGTTCGTAACCCTTCGCCAAGCCCGAGCGACGGTATTCCCGTTTCCTACAGGAGTCCATGAGCGTCTGGCCCCTAAAGGTGAAGTGTCTCAAGAGATGTGCTCCTTTTCTGGATGAACAAAGATCCCTCGAAAGTAAGTGCTCTTGGGCAGGGGTTATAATCATGTTTTCTATAAGTGGCTACCGATGATATAAAAGGCGGCTAAGATCGGAAAAGGGACCGTAATGCGAAATAAAACACAAGAGCTAACTCGCAAGCTAAACAGACCGCGATATGAGGTTTTACAGGCGGAGGTAACCGGCCTTCATTCCATCCCCTACATGATGGAGTAGCATTTAGATAGAATCTCTCGGCTCTAAGTAGAATTTACCGTTTCCCGCGCTTGGCCGGTGTTGCAATTCTTCCCGCGTTTGGGACGGATTACACTTTTCCCGCGCTGGGAAGCGACTGCGATTGTTCCCGCGCTTTGCGCTTTTTTTCCGCCTTTTTGGTTGATCATACTTAACCTTGAGTTTTGCATCAGTTTTTTCTCGCTTTAGGCGAATGGCACAATTTAGGCCGCCGAGTTGCACAAATCTATTTTCAGAATTTGTGCGGCCTTTTCTGCCCTTTCAGCGGATGCTTTCGGTTAGTTGCTGCGACTGGAAACACCAAACGGTTACATTTTATTCTTACCATTATCGCCACAACAGCAAATACTAGACACACAAAGCCTACAGGTCTGGAGAAGAGAGTTCTCTTGTTGTTATCGTCGAACATTTTAAGATATTTTCCAGAGCAGTAAAGAAATGCTACAACCATTCCAAAAAGTGTACCCTGAAAGAAAAGGGTGGAAGGATTAAATCTAGTACTATCACTCTCACCTAAATCCGTGTACTCCAGTCAACCTATTCTTATTATTAACATAATTTTCTCGGATATTGAATTCTTTTGACTGCAAGCTTATTTATCAAAGCCTCTTATCACACGTAAAGCCACGTTTTAATTCGTTTTATGGGCCATCGAAGATCTAACGTGAAAGCTCCGACTTCCTCTTGCTAAAACTGTATTTGCCCGCGCTCAGTATATCCCCGAAGTCAGAGAAACAATATGAATCAGTAGACAGTCTCGAAAACTCGCGGGAGAAGCTTCCGCTAATTTTTCATGTCGAACTGAGATCTGCCTATCCGTGCTCATAGTCTACTCGGAGGAAAAAATAAAAGACGAGTAAATTCATTTGACGTGACGAGATTTAGGTAAGTCTTCGTTAGTACTCGTTAAGACTTCTATTCCTGCTACGACCGGTTCAGAAAGAGAGAATCACCCCGAAGAAGCTTCCGTTCATCCTTCGAGGAATTCTCGTAAACTACATAGAATCCGATCGACAGAGAGTTTGTTACTTACATATCTATCCAGCCATGACCGAAACCACCACTCGCGAACACTATCATTCTCATCGATGAATAATTCTTTAATGGCCCACTGGGAAAATATCCATTGGCATAACGTCTGGGAGGTAAAAAGAGAGGTCATTCACATGCATGATAATAATAATAACTAACAATAATAATATTAGTAATAATAATAATATTAGTTATAATAATGACATTAACAAAATTAATATTTATACAGAGGGCGATCTCACAGTAAGTGGCTTCTAGGACTGCCCTGAAGAGAATATTATGATGTTAGACACGCGTTGAAATGATTTAACGACAACCGTAGGGTCGATACTCTGACAACAAAGCGTGCCACAATTAGTTTCACTCTACTTCCGATTGCCTCGTGCGTCTCAAAAATGAGCCCGCGCTCCTTCCCCCGAAGAAAAGCTCCTTCTAGTTAGAATCGATGAGAACAAGACCCAACAAATGTATACAAGCTGCATTCATCAAAGCTTCCTCGGTTCTTATACTCTCATGGCCTTTAAGCGTGCTAAAATGATAAGGAAGAAGTCTGTGTAGATGTACCACACTCAGTTAACTTACTGGTGAGCTCCAGATCGTGGAAATAACGCCAAACAGGAACAGGAACTTCACCAATACAACAAAATAATGCTTCTGGTTATCTACCAAGAAAATTACCGGCGTTTAATATAAAAGTAACCGGCAGAACTAGAAAATATCTCAAAATCAAGAAATCACCAAGAGCATTAACCGATCGGAAACACGAAACTCCATCTTGATGGCAAACTTTTACAGACTAATTGATTAACCCTTTACAACCAGAGATCAATATTTATCTTCTTTATTCTGTTCTCCACATATTCTCAATGGCACTGACAAGGAGAATTTGTTTGACAATCAAGAGCTTCTTTGGTCGATGATCATTTCCTATATTCTTATAATCACGTTTGATAATGTAAGGAGATGTTAGATGTTAGTGACTCCTTGAGTTATGAGAGCAGATTTTGGAGCAGACCAGTGACACGATGAAAACATTAATTAAGGGACATAGCCTGATAAAACCCTTTATTCTCAGAACTATCTTTCTACGAACTGTGCGGCAAACAGAACTGAAGGAGAAGGTTGAGATGCGGCAGAGAAAGAGTAGCCTACAATGCAAGTGTCTTTTTTTAGGGCGAGTTAATGTTACAAGCCATGACCAGCCATGTTTGCCTCCCCTAACCCTAACCGTCACCCACCCCCTTGGTAGAAATTTATTTCTTTCTCCAGCCTTCCGCTGCTGTTGGAATCAAAGATGTTAGCAAAATTTCCACCAGGAAAATACCTGCTCTGCAAGCCAGCGAAAGCGTTGATGCCAATTTAAAGAGGAAAGGAGAATTATTACAGGGAGAACCTGATCAGAAAAATTATTCTCACCTTTAACACGAGCAGCAGTGACTCTGGGCCACAATGCCATCACAGCATAAACCACTACAAACCAGAAGGTTACTAACGGAACAAAGTAGTAGAACTGATAGGGGCGACCCATGATTAAACAGAGAACAGCCACGAGAATATTCATGCGAGTAATAACCTGAAACGAGATCAAACAAGCCATTACAGTGCGTATTGCAAATTTCTGAAGCACTAAACCGCGAGCGATCGAGATATGTTTGGACGTGAGGTAAGAAACCTGGGTCGATTTCACCGATTCTAGGCTAGCTGGTGAACTTGACGGAAAAATGAATTAAATTCAGGAAATACCATCTATTTCGAAAAACTGTGGAATTCACCTGGTGCCATTGCACGACTAGATTTATATATTTTTAAAAGACAAAAAGAGGGAAGACATTTTTCAATGTTACCATAAGTTGATTGCTTGATATTGTATTAATTTCCTAAATAGACAGTACGTCTTGGTTACTACTAGATGTGAAAGGGTTAAATGACCCCACACGTGTTGCCTGTAGCTCAGTTGGTAAAGCACCCGAGAGCGAAATCGATAGCTGGTGTTCAACTTTTCACGGGGGATTCAGTATTTCTTCTTTGTTACGACGTAACTTAAGTTATTACCTGACAAAACCTGTAGAGGCCAAAATCTCCCTTATTCCAAAAGTACGAGAAATGCCCATACCCAGAGAGGAAAAGATATGAAGCTACGAGGAGTCTTATAAACACGTAAATTGGAAGCACCTGAAGTTAGAATGAAGGAAAATTAGAGAGGAGTAGAACTTGTATGATAATTCGCTACAATACTGACACTGACTTCACAATGAACTCAGCTTGGATTTTTCGAGTGTTTGTTTGCAATCAGTGTCAATCTTCTCCATCCACACCAATATTTGCTTGTGTTGGGTTCACTCTTGTCATTTTGTTGTTTTCCTAGCTTACCAAATTGATATTTTATGGTTTCGCTCGCGTTGAGCGTAATTTTTTGCGCGTGGCAGAAGACAACTCCTATTTTTATGATATGACGCCTTTTAAAACGTGAAGCGAGGATTAACCTGTTTATCCGCATCCCGCATTCCGCATCTACAACCTCGACCCTTTCCAAGAGGGTTTACCAGGGAAGTCAGTTCAATCACTAGTTAAGTGGAACTAGAATGCATACGCCAGGAGAGACAGACATGAAGAGAGGTACGTCACTTTGCACCTTATAGAAGAGCGTGAGACACACATGCAGTCGCAATAGAAACACATGCTAACACGAGAGACACGTGGCGAAAAGAACGTCACCTCACACCTTATCCATTGTGGTGGAGTGCGAGATACACATGCATGTGTACGCACACCTCGTAATAGAGCAGGAGACAAGCATGTGTGCGCAAGAGACGCGTGGCGATAGGCGCATATCACCGCGCACTTTAATGTAAAACGGACGACATGCATAAATGCACGAGAGACTCGTGGTAAACTAGCCACAGGCACGTCATTTCGCACCCTATTGTGAAGAGTGTCCTTCGTTCATTTCAGAAAAAATAGTGTGTGAATCCATCGACTGAATCAGAACCGATCACTATCATTACCTTGCTTGCCCCAATGTAATGATACAAAAGTATAACTAATTGCATCCAGCCTCTCCACTCATTCGTCTGATCTCTGTTTAAAAACACGGTCTGAAAAAACAAATTTGGCAAAGCAAATTAGTTAGCACTTATGATCAAATATAGCCTGAAAATTTTGTACACATTCCCCGTTGACTCTTAAACTTCCAAGATTAAATTCATAATTCTCCCTTGACGCTGGTATCCATTTTCATGTCAATTGGTCATTGATAATTCGGTCTAACATCGAGTCAACATCTTCCAACTGATCTGTATCTCAATTCTCGATGTCTACTCGCTAGGTAATCATGTATGGAATTGAAAGAAGAAGTTACATTTTAATCACAAAACAAACCTGTTGAGCTGGTGACCAAGTCCAGGCTCCCAAGGCCAAGAAAACAAACAGCACCAAGATAAACACCAGATGACTGTACTGCTTTTGTTCCTTGAAAAAAAAGTTTGTCCTGTAGATTCAACAGAAAAAAAAGGCAATTTTCAAACGAACAGCATGGAATTTTATCTGCATTAAAAAATTGAACTGAGCACTGGATGAGACAAGTAATTAGTAATAATAAATATAACGACGGATTTCAGTCTTTGGCGCCATATTAATAAGCTCATTACGATTTACAAGACTTTGCGAGGGACTTTGGCCAGACTGCATTGAGCAGTTAAAAATTTTTTGCAAGAAAACTTTTGCAGATGCCCCTAATTTTGGAATCAAGGCCAGACCACAACACCGTAAGCTGCGTTCCCGAGAAGTGCGTGGATTCTTTAACGTCTCCTGCCAACCAGTAAAGAGAAGATGGAGGAGACAGTGCCTATGCTTTATCGTTCATATCCGAGAAGTCTAGACCGTCTAACCTTTTTTGCAGATGTGATGACAAAAGTAGTACATTCTCCTCTGTTACTTTTTAAGACCCTGTGCGTTGGTCCGGTCTGGCCATTACATCAAAAACGATTAAGCCCTTTTCAACAGACTGTCGTGAGACCGAAAAAGGGAGCAGTCACTACTGCCAAGGAAGAAAAATCATCATGAGCCCGACGGAACTCAGAGAGATGGCACACACTCATATTGACAACAAGTTGACTTTTTTTTTCCATCGTGGGAGACTTGGCCCGAACGTAGTTGAGTTTTGACTGACACTGCACGTGAGTGCAGTCATGCATGTCGCTTTTGAGAG